TATGATGCTGCTTGGCCTGCTGTGTTCATCCAGCTCTATGCCTTGTTGTCTCAGATTCTCCAGCATCTGCAGTTCCTACTATCTCTGATGCCTTCCAGTCAGCTGTTCTGCCTGCCCAGTAATAAAGTTTGGGATATCTGCTCAGGTTTGGAGTTGGAGAGGGAAGAATCCAGTCCACTAATGTCCTTTAGGGAAGGAAACAGCCATCCTTACCTGGCTTGGCCTACATGTGACACCAGACTCAAAATTCACCCAACACGACCAGAAACACCAATCACCCTACCATACATCAAAGACATTTCAGAGATGGCCACAAGACTACTCAGACCCCTAGGTATCAGGATAGCCAACAAACCAACAACCACCCTGCGACAGCTACTGACGAACTTGAAGGATCCCATACCCACAACCAATAAAACCAATACAATATACAAAATACCATGCACGGACTGTGAGAACCATTACATGGGCCAAACCGGAAGAAAACTGACAATAAGAATACACGAACACCAACTAGCCACCAAGAGACACGACCAGTTCTCACTCGTCTCACCACACATGGACAAAGAAGGACACGAATTCGACTGGGGCAACACATCCATAATCGCAAAAGCCAAACATAGACAGGCCAGGGAATTCCTGGAGGCCTGTCATTCTAATCGGAACTCCATCAACAAACACATTCAACTGGACCTGATATAAAAACCACTGAGAAACAGAACCGGACATGATGCCAAGCATCCCAGCAAACCGAGGCATATAAATATCAAGCAGGACAGAACACCAACGCTTCACCTGAGGCGCAGTGACAATGTTACCTAGCAGGGTGACGAAACGTCTGCAACCAAACACACCAACTCAGCAAGCATGTCTACAACCTCAGATATATAGATAGGTTAAGTGAGTGAGTAAAGGTGTGACATATGAAGTATAATGTCGGAAAATGTGAAATTGTCCATTTTGACAGGAAGAATCTAACAGAAATAAAAACCCTAAGTGTTGGAGAAACTCAGCAGGTCTGGCAGCATCTGTGGAGAGAAAAAAAACAATTAATGTTTCAATTCAAGATACAATTGAAACATTAACTGCTCTATTTTCTCTCCACAGATGTTGCCAGACCTGCTGAATTTTTCCAATACTTTGTGTTTTTATTTCAGTTTTCTCAGCATCTATAGTATTTTGCTTTTATTGCAATAAAAAAAGTTACGGAAATGGTGAGATATTGAGTTTTCTGAGGTGGATGGGGATCCTGGTGTCATAGAGCATTAATCATAAAGGTTAGTGTACACGTACACAAGTGATTAGGAAAACATCTAATCTCACTTGTCACAACAGGAATTGGATACAGAAGCAGAAAGGTTATTCTTTAGCAATACAAGGCATTGGTGAGACTGCATCTGGAGTACTGTACACATTATTGGTCAACTCATTTCATGGAGAATGTAAATGCATTGGAGTCAGTTCAAAGAAATTTTACCAAATTAAAACCTGGAATGGATGGGTTGTCCTATGAAGGAAGAATTGGGTAGGCTAGGCTTGTATCCCCTGGAGATTAGAGTGACTTAATTAAAACATAAATTCCCGAGAGGTCTTGACAGGATAGATGTGGACAATATGGGAAAATCTTAGAACTAGGGGTTACTATTTAAAAATCAGGGATTGCCTGTTCAACACAGATATTATGCATTTTTTTCTCTCACAAAGGATTGCGAGTCTTCAGAATGCTCTTCAGGAAAAAGTATTAGAAGCAGAGACCTTGAATATTTTTAAGTCAGAGATAGTAGATTCTTGTTAAGCAGGGCATTGTAAGCTTATCAGGGCTACACGTGAATGTGGATTTGATGTCTCAATACTGCTCTGCCATGATCTTATTAAATGGCAATGCAGGATTGGTGGGATGAACAGCCCAATCCTGTTCCTGATTCATATGTAACTTCTGGTAATATCTATGATAGATGCAAATTATTGCCAATTGTCACAGTTACAAGAAACCCGAGTACTCAGAGTTAAGGCAAAAAGCCTTTCTTCGGCCATTTCAACTGTACTTACTATCTCCAAATGAACTCCGGCAGAAGTCTGCTAGCTGATTATTCAAGATAATTCCCGTACGATTAGAGAAGATCATGTTACCAAATCTATAAAAACAAAAACACAGCTTATCTTAAAACTTATCCAATTCAATTTCATTCCAAAGTATCTTTGTTTGCATCTTACAAAAAAAACCCCAAAAGAACTGCAGATGCCGTAAATCTTTTTCCAGCAATTTCTGTTTTCGTTTACATCTTTCCTGATTCTAACCTCCAGTCTTTTTATCGTACAGACTCCCATCCCCACTCCAAATTCTATCCCAATTCACATTAAAAATTATCCATTAATTCTCACCTCAAATCATATTCTAATTCCCATCCAGATTTCCTCTGGATTACCATTCCCTGTTTCATTTCCATTCTAATTCACATCAGAATTTTTCTTCCCATTCCAATTTCAGACCTACAGCCATTCAGGATTCTGCTTTAGTTTTCATCCCCATTTCCTATTTCAATTCCTCTATTACAGTTTCTAAGATGCATTCGCATTCACATTCCAAAGATTTTTCCATTCATTTTAATCCCAGTCCCTCATTTCAGAAACCCCATTGCACTGACAATTAATTCATATCCAATGTATTATCCAAATTTTGATTGACATCCAAAATGACATCCCAAGCGTCCTTCACTCATATCTCACTCCCAATCTTAATTCAGGTACTAATTTCTTATCCCCACCTATATTCGATTCCAATCACATTTTTTATTCAAACTTCCATCTGAATTTGGGTCCAACTCTCACATTGAGACCCATATCAACTCTCATCCCAATTTCTCCACAAGCAAGCACAGACTAGGGGTCAGATTAGGGTGTCAGTTAGCTCAATTAGCTGAACAGCTGGTTTGCGATGCAGAGTGACACCAACAACATGAATTTAATTCCTGTACCAGCTGAGGTCACCAACAAAGGTCCCACCTTCTCAACCTAACCACTTGCCCCTTGGCATGGTGACCCTCAGCTTAAACCACCATCAGCTGTCTCTCTCTCTCTCTAATAAGAGAGCAGGACTATGGTGACTGTATCTTTACCTTACAGTCAGATTAAACTCAGTAAGAGAAATCGAAGAGAAATATTTTATTTACAAAATTATATCTACTGCAGACCTATATTTCAGCTTAAATTGTTTCAGGGTCTTTTCATTTTTGACATCATGGATGTCCTTAAACATACACTCTGTGCACCATTATGCCTGCAGCAAGAACATGATGCGATTACCAGGTGGTGCTGTCTCTGAAGTTAACATCAAAAGCTGGACTTGCTGTCAGTCCACCCACACCCTGAACCTTCAGCAGAGACAGCACAAGTGCTGCAGATGAAGCCTGCAGTAGGTCCACCTCAGTGACACAAAATTTCCAAGAAGCCTCCTCCCAAGAAGTAATATTGAGGTGTACAGCAGCAGAAAATAGGGCAGGGGCTTGTTGGACTTGAGTGTTTGCCATTTTCACAACTGTACAATTTTCTTGCAACACTCCCATTAAAAAGATGTTTCTTTAACTTCCAATCCTACAGGCACTCGGTATAATTTTGGACTTCAACCTTATACGTTTATGAAGCCGCCGAAAGAAAGATTTGCATTTATGTAACACCCTTTATGACACAGCAAAGCACTTCCCAATTATTGGAGCATTTTGAAATGTTGCCACTACTGCAAAGTAGGAAACATTGCACCCAAAGTTCACATCATAATCTCCCACAAACAACACTGAGATAACAACCATCTGCGTAAGAGGCACTGATTGCGAAGAAGGATTAGCTAAGATTCCAGGGTTAGGTCTGCTGCTCTTCTTTGGAAAAAAAGATGGAGAACCAATTTAACATCTTAACCTGAAACAATGCACCTCAGAGAGCACTGTACTCCCTCAATATTGCATTAAGGCACTGGCCAAGTCTCTTGGAAGGAACATGGCCCAAAGCCTTCTGTGTTACAGGCAAAATGCTACCAACTGCACCACAGCCATCACATAGTGACACAATTCATTTAGTCAGACAGCTGTGGAAAGCTGTTTTTTGACACCACCTCAATGTATGATTTAAATATACAAAGAATTACACCTTTTGACTAAGCAACACATTTCATGTATATTAGAAAACTAGCAAATAGAATCACAGAATCCCTACAGTGTGGAAACAGGCCCTTCAGCCCAACACTGCCCCTCAGAGCATCCCACCCAGACCCATCCCCCTATAACCCACCTAATCTACACACCCCTGAACACTACGAGCAATTTAGTAAGGCCAATCCACCTAACCTGCACATCTTTGGAGTGTGGGAGGAAACTGGAGCACCCGGAGGAAACCCACGCAGACACGGGGAGAATGTGCAAACTCCACACAGACAGTCGCCCGAGGGTGGAATTGAACCCGGGTCCTTGGCGCCGTGACGCAGCAGTGCTAACCACTGAGCCACCATGCTGCCAGTTTTATTTAAAAAATATTCTATCATCTTTCCTAATTAGGTAGAATCATAGAATCCCTACAGTGTGGAAGCAGGCCATTCGGATTTAAGATTTAAATTATTTTCTGTAATATTTTAATCCTACCACTGATTTAAATGGGTAAGATTCTAATGTTGCCCAGAAGAATTATAGGCCTTTGGTCATGTGACATAGTTTGATTACTGTCTTTAGATTCCAAACACCAAGTACCTATTACACACCTATCAAATGTGATGGATTCCCTGGCACGTATCCAGCCTGTGATTAAATTGGTATTATGTGGCTAAGGATATCTGTACTTACAAATAATTGATTGAGCTAGTGACAGAAACCGCATTGCCATGTCTGTCTATCACTGAAACGTGACTGGTGCCATATGAGTCGGGTGCCTGAAGGTCAATGTTGTAGTATTCCAGGGAATGGGCTCGATCATCAATACGCCGTCGCATAGATTCAGCAAACCCATCAGACAGCCGCTGGGATATCTGAATTAGATAGAGAGAGCAGATGTTACACTGGGAACATTGCACAAATCTATCTCTCACGCGAGACGATGTGGTATAACAGAGGTTCCTATAGGGAGGAATATGATACATCAGCATGTCACAGAGAAAAGTTACTGCCAAAGCTGTCTATTTTGGTTTGGTTTTCACATCTCGTGCAGTTTCCCATGTCTCACAGGCATATGTTTTAAACGAAGGGGTCATCAAGAGATACACACATGCAGAAATAGCTTGGAGGCATATTTAAGCCTTTAATATCATATGGGGAGAAATACAAGTTATCCCTTGCAAAGGGGCTCCAATGAACTGCTCAACTAATTGAGTAAATGACTCATGCCATGTTGCACTAAACAGCACCACACACCCTTTCCTCTGTATCATGACGGCTTTGTTGATTAATGTATTTGTTGGCCATGCTACGGCCATAACTGGTTTCACTGCTCCCAAATCAAGGAGAGGAAGATCAGCCTTGGTTCCAACACCTGGCTTGTACACCCAATATCCATTCGAGGAAGGTGTCCTGAGTGGATTTCTGATGGCGAGTGGGTGGATTGTTCTCATTTTAGCCTGGATGCAACTCCCTGAGTGAAATAACGTGACCAGGCTGACATACGAATAATGTCAACTTGAGCATTCTTGTCTGTGGAGTTGTATTCCAGCAATAATTAGCACCTTTAAGAGCAAAGAGCAAACGATCCAGTGAATCAAGATTCACACAGCAATAATTTTCCTTGCCAATAGTTGTGGAGATAAAAAAAAAAGACCACTAACATTTGACCAGAACGTCGAATCCGTCAGATTACTTAGCTGTCCATTTCCAAATTTTAAGGCTTCTATGATACGATGGTATGTCCGGACCCTTTGATTTTCCTCCATAGACGCAACAGAAAACTTAAAGCCTAATGGAGACCAGAAAAAATGTTACCATTCAATTCACTTGTAGGGAAACACAGATTTGTTTGTTTATTGCTTGAACCAAATGTTGTCAAATAAAGAACTTGCATATCCAAACACAGCAATGCTTTCTTTCAGCAGTGGAATTTATACATGTTTACGCCAGATTTCCAAAGTCGGTGGAGTTGTGGATAGTGCGCAAGGATGTTGCAGGTTACAGAGGGACATAGATAAGCTGCAGAGCTGGGCTGACAGGTGGCAAATGGAGTTTAATGCGGAAAAATGTGAGGTGATTCACTTTGGAAGGAGTAACAGGAATACAGAGTACTGGGCTAATGGGCTAATAGATCACTGAAAGTTGCCATCCAGGTTGATAGCGTTGTTAAGAAGGCGTACGTTGTGTTAGGTTTTATTGGTAGAGGGATTGAGTTTCGGAGCCATGAGGTCATGTTGCAGCTGTACAAAACTCTGGTGTGGCCGCACTTGGAGTATTGCGTACAGTTCTGGTCACCACATTATAGGAAGGATGTGGAAGCATTGGAAAGGGTGCAGAGGAGATTTACCAGGATGTTGCCTGGTATGGAGGGAAGGTCTTATGAGGAAAGGCTGAGGGACTTGAGGCTGTTTTCGTTAGAGAGAAGAAGGTTAAGAGGTGACTTAATAGAGACATACAAGATGATCAGAGGATTAGATAGGGTGGACAGTGGGAGCCTTTTTCCTCGGACGGTGATGGCTAGCACGAGGGGACATAGCTTTAAATTGAGGGGTGACAGATATAGGACAGATGTCAGAGGTAGGTTCTTTACTCAGAGAGTAGTAAGGGCGTGGAATGCCCCGCGTGCAAAAATAGTAGACTCGCCCACTTTAAGGGCATTTAAATGGTCATTGGATAAACATATGGATGATAATGGAATAGTTTAGGTTAGATGAGCTTCAGATTGGTTTCACAGGTCGGCGCAACATCGAGGGCCGAAGGGCCTGTACTGCGCTGTAATGTTAAAAAAAAATTACATAATACGTACTGGCATTGAAAGCTGGTTTATAAGCCAAAGGATGAAGAAATAAACGACCACAATACATGCCAAGTCACAAAGCCCAAAGATTATTTCAGGAAACTAGGAATAGGAACCAAATGGTGACTTCACTGGTGTCTCTGACATGCCAAATATGAATAAATTATTTGTTGGCACATATATCACAAGGGGAGGCGATGGCCTAATGGTATTATCACTAGACTGTTAATCCAGAGACCTGGGTAACGTTCTGGGGCCCAGGTTTGAATCCCACCATGGTGATGGTGGAATTTGAATTCAATAAATGTCTGAAATTAAAAATCTAATGATAACTGTGTCATTGTGATTAACATTGTCAATTGTCAGGAAAAACCCATCTGGTTCACTAATGCCCTTTAAGGAAGGAAACTGCCATCCTTATCTGATCTGGCTTACATGTGACTCCAGACCCACTGCAATGTGGTTGACTCTTAACCACCCTCTGGGCAATTAGGGATGGGCAATAAATGCTGCCTAGCCAGCGACACCCTCATCCTGTCAATGAATAAAAACGGATATCTATAGATATCGCGAGGTACAAAAGGATAGAAAGAAAGTATTAAATAGAGTTCATCTTCCATCGGCCAGGCTTTCAAACATGATTCCAGGACTTATGCAAGGTCTCTGCAAGGCCCCCGCTCCGGTCACCACCAACACTGCTCCAGCCTGTTCCTGTGCTGTAATTTTCTTTGTTCTTGTTCTTTGTTCCCTTCACACCATCAGGAAGATGAAGCAAAGAAGAAACAGAAAAAAGATGAGGGAGAGCGAGAGAGAGAAGCAGAGAGGCCTACTGTGCCAGTGCCACCATCTTGAATAACTGGGCTCGCTCTCCGCTCTGCACTGCACAGGCTACATAGAGTTAAGCTGCAATCCCACTGTTCTCATCAAACTCTCCCTGGGGCAGGTAAACTTAGATACAGAGTGAAGCTTCCACTACAATGTCCTGACAAACACTAACAGGACAAATATAACATATGTTTGAATTGGAGTAAAGCTCCCACTGCACCACATTAACAACACGCTGAACAGCAGCGATAGCAGCAAGCAGAAAGAGAAGGCAACAGAATTTTGAAAGGAATTTCTCATAATCATCAGCTTTGAATTTATTGAGAGAACAGCAGACACTTTGGGTCAGTCATGTTTATGTCATGTCTTTGAGGTTTCCACAGGTCTTCTATGGCAATGTATGAGGAGAAATTTTATGGAAACACATACAAACACATAGACAGAAATATAAACAGAGATAACATAAAATGACAACTAAATGAGAAGACTTTTATTGGTATACGCTAATATTGTTACTCATACCTTTCAGTATGTTGAGGACGAGGCTGACAATGATTCCCTTTGATGGCAGAGGTGGGAAGTACATCACGTAGTCACCCACCGAAACATTCAGGGGTACCATGATGGAAGCTTTGTATTGTTTCAAATCTTGACGTGTTAAAATGCCATCTACGGACAAATAGAAAGCAATGATCCGAGATACTTTTGAACATTGAACAACCCCTCAGATAGTGTTCGAGGTAAGATCAGGAAAACCAGCACTGACAACAAAGAACCGTGAAATCAGTTAACCATGAGTCTATACAGTTGGCCATGGGAAGGTGAGGCACTGCGAGAATTGAAGTGTAAGGAGATCACAAACAAGGGGAGTCAGGGTGAAATGACTTTAGGTGGGACTTACAATGACAGAACCTGCAGGAATATGTCCAAACAGAATTGGAAACCCCATCTGAGGATCCCTGGCTGCGTACTGATGTACCAAGGATTGTGAAATGGAGTTCAGTGTTTAGGGTTCTACATATTAGTGGAGAGTTGGTAATGACACTAGACTGGCAAACCAAAGGCTCTAGAAGCATGGGTTTGAATTGCACTCCATCAAATGGTGAAATTTAAATTCATTTAATAAAACTGGATTTAAAAGTAGTGTAATAGTGACCATCAAATATTATAAAAACCCATCAGAGAAGGAGGATCTGCTGTCCTTATTTGGTCTCTACATAAGAAAAGGAATAAAACCTGACAGGTCACCTGACATCAACCCAACGGCAATGGCAAATCCCAGCCCTGTTGCCTGCAAAGTTCTCCTTCTGACATCTATGGTACGTACCAAAATTGAAAGAGCTATCCTAAATAGTGTCACAGACAAGCCAAATGACAATGTGACTGTTCTACAGAATTGTGAGGAAGGGTCTAGGCCCGAAACGTCAGCTTTCCTGCTCCTCTGATGCTGCTTGGCCTGCTGTGTTCATCCAGCTCCACACCTTGTTATCTCAGATTCTCCAGCATCTGCAGTTCCTACTATCTCTGAAACAATTTTAACCCCACTGCGAAGCCTCTTCTAAGGATGCCTACCTTGAAGAAGTTACCCTCCTCCCTCTGGAAAGGCATTTTTGAAGAAGGGTCTAGGCCTGAAACGTCAGCTTTCCTGCTCCTCTGTTGCTGCTTGGCCTGCTGTGTTCATCCAGCGCTACACCTTGTTATCTCAGTTACAAACAATGGCCCAGACTCCAATCCATTTCCTAACGTACCTCCTATGCTCTTGACTGATGAATCATATTCCTCCGTGTTGAATATCAATTGGAGAAAACATTCAGGTGACAAGAACACATAATGCACACTTGATGGGGAGGTGGGTGTGGAGGCAACGATGGCCATCTATAGGACTGGCTCACCAGCATGACCACTGTCTGAAATCTAAAGGACATAACAGGACTGGGCTGGGGGTGAGAGCATCAAGAAGTGGGAAAGACCTATTTCATCCTATCCTCAGCAATCTGTCATGTGCATCTGTCCATGACCCTATTGGTAAGAGTGAATACTGCACAATCCTAATAGAGACAACGTCCACATTCAGAATACCATCCATTGTGATGTGGGGCACAACCATTATGCTAAATGGCATAGATTCTGAAAGATCTAGTAACGCAAAATTGGGCATCCATGAGGCGCTGTGGGCCATCAACAGCAGCAGAATTGTACTCCAGCAAAATCTGTAACCTCATGGCCCCGGCACATCCCCCTCTCAACTATTACCATCAAGCCAGGGGATCAACCCTAGTTCAATGGAGAGTGCAGGAGGGCATGCCAGGAGCAGCACCAGGCATACCTGAAGATGAGGTGTCAACCTGGTGAAGCTACCAAACAGGACTACTTGCACGCCAAACAGCGTAAGTGGCAAGTGACAGACTGAGCTAAGCAATCAATGGAGCTGTCCTGCTGTAACTATTTGTGAATGGTGGTGGACAATTAAATAACCCAGTGGAAAAAGCCACTCCACAAATATCCCCATCCTCAATGATGGAAGAGCCCAGCACATCAGTGCAAGAGATAAGGCTGAAGCATTCGCAGCAATCTTCAGCCAGAAGTGCCGAGTGGACGATGCATCTCAGCCTCCTCCAGTGGTCCCCAGCATTACAGATACCAGTCTTCAGCCAATTCGATTCACTCCACGTGATATCAAGAAACGGTTGGAAGCTCTGGATACTGCAAAGGCTATGGGCCCTGAAGACTTGTGCTCAGAAACTTGCCGCTCCCCTAGCCAAGCTGTTCCAGTTCAGTTATAACACTGGCATTGATCTGACAATGTGAAAAATTGCCCAGGTATGTCCTGAAAACAAAGAACAGGACAAATCCAACCCGGCCACATACCTGGCCCTATCAGTCTCCTCTTGATCAACAGTAAAGTGATGGAAGGTGTCAGTAACAGTGCTATCAAGCAGCACCTGCTCAGCAATAACCTGCTCAGTGACGCCCAGTTTGGGTTCCGCCAGGGCCACTCAGTTCCTGACCTCATTACAGCCTTGGTTCAAACATGGACAAAACAGCTGAAATAGGCCGTTCTGCCCATTGAGATCTTTGCTGATCGGATAATCCTCAACTCCACCTTCCTGGCTTTTCCCTAGAAGCCTTGATTCCTATACTGATTAAATATAGAAATAGAAAATAGTAGTAATAGGCCATTCAGGCCTTTGAACCTGCTCTGCCATTCATTGCAATCATGGCTGATCCTTTATCTTAATGTAATATTCTGCTTTTACCCCATATCCCTTAATGCCTCTAAAATCTAAAAAGCTATCTATTTCTTCTTTGAATATATTGAGTGACTTGGCCTTTGCAAACTTATATGGTAGGGAATTTCATTCATTCTTTGAGTGAAGAAATGTTTAAAAAAAAGTCCTCCTCATCTCTATCTTAAATCTTAAGTTAAAAGCGCATTGAGTATAGGAGTTTGGAGGCCATGTTGCCACTGTACAAGACATTGGTGAGGCCACTTTTGGAATACTGCATTCAATTCTGGTCTCCCTGCTATAGGAAAAATGTTGTGAAACTTGAAAGGATTCAGAAAATATTTACAAGGATGTTGCCAGGGTTGGAGGGTTTGAGCTATAGGGAGAGGCTGAATAGGCTGGGGCTATTTTCCCTACAGAGTTTATAAAATCATGAAGGGCATGGATGGGTGAATAGCCAAGGGTAAGAGAGTCCAAAACTAGAGGGCATAGGTTTAAGGTGAGAGGGGAAAAGATTTAAAAGGGACTCAAGAGGCAACCTTTTCACACAGAGGGTGGTGTGAGTATGGAATGAGCTGCCAGAGGAGGTGGTGGAGGCTAGTACAATTACAACATTTAAAAGGCACCTGGAAGGGTATATGAATAGGAAGGGTTTAGAGGGATATGGGCCAAATGCTGGCAAATGGGACTAGATTAATTTAGGATATCTGGTTGGCATGGATGAGTTGGACCAAAGCGTCTGTTTCTGTGCTGCACAACTCTCTGACTCTGTGTTGATGCCTTCTGCTCTTAGGCTCTTTCCACATGAAACTATCTTTCCACGTCAACCCTGTCAAGACCCCTAATAATCTTATATGCTTCAATAAGGTCACAACTTGATCTTCCAAAATTCTAATGAGTACAGGCCCAACCTACTCAACCTCTCCTCATAAGACAGTCCCTTCATACTTCAAGTGAACTTTCTCTGACTGCTTCCAAGATAAGGGAACCAAAACAATTAATAATATTCTAGCCATGATCTGCCTTGTATAGTTTGAGTAAGACCTCCCTATTTACATACTCGTTTAAAATAAAGGCCAACATTCCGTTTGCCTTCCCTATTACTGGGTGAACTTGGATGGTAGATTTTTGGGGTTTATGCACAAGGATACAAAATCCTTTTGTTTGTAGCCTTCTGCAGTCTATCCCTACTTAAATAATAATCAGGTCCTCTGTTCTTCCTGCCAAAGTACATAAACTCAGATTTTCTCACAATGTATTCTGTCAAGTTTTGCTCAGTCACTTAACCTGTTTATTTCCTCTGTAGACTCAGTGTCATCCTCACAATTTACCTTCCCACCTATTTTTGTGTCATGTGAAAACATGGCTAAGCACATTCACTTTCTTCATCCAACATACAGTGTATAATGTAAATAATTGTAGCCTCCTCCACAATTGATTCCTGTAGTACTCCACCATTCACACCTGAAAACCCCTTCTTTTTCCCAACTCTGTCTTCCAGTAGCTTATTAATCCTCTATCCATTGCTAAATATACTCCCTCCAACATCATGGCATCTTCTCTTATTAAATGGTCTCATATATGGTACCTTATAAACATCTTTTGGAAAACCAAATATATTACATACATTACATTTAATAGTTTCCCTTTATCTATCCTGCTTGTTACCTCCTCAAAAGGACTCTAATAAATTTATTAGACATGATTTTCCCTTCATGAACCCACGCTGACTCTGCTTGATCACATGTATTTCTAAATACTCTGCTATTACATCCTTTATAATAGACTCTAACATTTTCCCAATAAAAAACAACTAACCTGCCTACAGTGACCTTTTTTTCTGTCTCCTTCCCTTTTCTAAATAAAGGTGTTACATTGGCATTTTTCCGATCTGCTGGGACTTTTCCTGAATCTAAGGATTCTTGGATGATTACCAACACATCCAATATCTCTTCAGTTATTTACTTTAAAACTCTAGGATGCACCTTCAGGTCCAGGATGATCCAGATCATCCTATAGCCCTATTAGTTTTCAGAGTACTTTTTCCTCCAGTGATAGTTAGTGTGTTTATTTCCTCCCGTCAATTTAGCCCTGTGATTAATATTTTCAGAATACTATTAATGTCCTCTACTCATGCAAAGTATTTATTCAGTTCTGTGCTATTTCCTGGTTCCCCATTAATTATTTCCCCAGTCTCATTCTCTAAAGGACCGATGTTCATTCTGCCCTCCCTTTTCTTTTTTATATATTTTAAAACATTCTTACTGTCTGTTTTTATATTATTTGTTAGTTTACCCTCATAGTTTATTTTCCCTCTCTATTTTTTGGTCATTTTTATTTGGCTTTTAAAACTTTCCCTAACCTCTGGCTTACTTCTAATCTTTACCACATGGTATTGAATTGAAAGGAAAAAAAGCAGACAATTTTTAACTTCCCTGGTTCACCACAGGGTCAGTTTATCTCTTCTCCCCCACAGGGATATATCTTTGCTGTCAGTCATGAACTATTTTCTTAAATATCTGCCATCGTTTTTCAATCATCTTTTCTGCTAAATTCCTTTCCCAGTCCACTCCAACCAGGTCTGCCCTCCTTCATGTGTAATTAAAACTATTAAAATTTAGCACAATTGTTTCTGACCCACATTCAGAAAAGCTGACATCACTTATTAAAGCTGCCTCATTTCACATCACCAGATCCAAAACAGCTTGATCCCTGATTGGATCAACACATATTATTCTAGGAAACAGTCCCAAATACACTCTACAAATTCTTCCTCGTGGCTACCTGACATTCTCATTATTGGGAAAAAAAAATCAACGATGATTAAGGTACTGCATCTTTTACATGTCCTCAGTGTCTCCTAATTTATTCTCTGTCCTACAGCTTGTAAACTACTCAGAAACATAGAAAATAGGAGCATGAGTAGGCCATTCATTATGATCATTACTGAACATCCAACTCAGCAACCTATTCCCACTTTTCCCTTACATCCTTTGATCCCTTTAGTCTCAAATGCTACATCCAACTCCTTCTTGAAATCACACAGTGTTTTGGCCTTGAATGCTTTCTGTGGCAAAGAATTTCACAGGCTTACCACTCAGTGAAGAGAATTCTTCTCATCTTTGTTTTTAATGGTTTACCCTGCATCCTTATGACTGTCACTGCTGATTCTGGACTCCCCCATCATTGGGAATACCTGTCCTACATTTACAGTGTCTAGTGCTGTTAAATTTTCAAAGTTTCCAACAAGATTCCCCTCTCATTCTTCTAAACTTCAGCGAATACAATCCTAACTGACTCAATTTCTCCTTATTCGTCAGTCCGCCATCCCAGTAATTAGTCTGGTAAATCTTTGCTGCACTCCTTCCATAGTCAGAACACCCTTCTTCAGATAAAGAGACCAAAACTGCATGCAATATTCCAGGTGTGGTCTCACTAAGGCCCTGTACAACTGCAGCAAGACATCCCTATTCCTGTGTTCAAATCCTCTCACTATAAAGGCCAACATACCAATTGCCTTTTTTACTGCCTGCTGCACCTGCGTACTTACCTTCAGCGACTGGTATACAAGGTCACCCAGGCCTCCATGAACATTCCCCTCTCTCAATTTTTAGCCATTCAGATAATAGTCTGCCTTCCTGTTTTTGCTCCCAAAGTGGATAACCTCACATTATCCACATAATATTACTTCTGCATTGCACTTGCCCACTCACTCAACTTGTTCAATCACTCCTTCTAGGGTCTTATTTTCCTGATTATTGCTTACCTCCACACATATAAATTCTGCATCTTCCAATCCAAAATCATTGATTTTACTGTTTTACCAATTTTTCCTCGTCCAATCCTATTTGCTGCTGTTTTCTTATGTTTGCATTGTCAGTTTGCACTTTTAGCCTGGGTGTCATTATCAAAATAGTTTCCTTGCTGTTCCAGCATTATTCTTTCTTTTGTAAGCAGATATATCCTCTCTCTGAGCACCCCGTCCCCAAATAAATTAGTATTAATGAAGGATTAAGGAGCCCTAGCAAAACTGCAGTCAAAGCAAATTCAAGGAAAAATCTCCACTGATTGGACATCTTCTAAACTTCAGTGAATACAATCCTAACTGACTCAATTTCTCCTTATTCGTCAGTCCTGCCATTCCAGTAATCAGTCTGGTAAATCTTTGCTGCACTCCTTCCATAGTCAGAACACCCTTCTTCAGATAAAGAGACCAAAACTGCATGCAATATTCCAGGTGTGGTCTCACTAAAAGGCCCTGTACAACTGCAGCAAGACATCCCTATTCCTGTGTTCAAATCCTCTCACTACACCTGGTTTTACTATTGACCAGAAACTGAACTGGACCAGCTACATAAATACAATGGCTACAAGAGCAGGCCAGAGGCTAGGAATATTGCAGTAAGTAACTCAATTCCTGACTCCCCAAAGCATGTCCGCCATCTACAAGGCACCAGTCAGGAGTGTGATGGAATACTCCCCACTTGCCTGGATGAGTACAGCCCCAATAACACTCAAGAAATTCGACACCATCCAGGACAAAGCAGCCCCCACTTGATTGATGCCACATCCACAAACATCTACTCCATCCACTACTGATGCATAATATACTGCAAAAATTCACCAAAGATCCTTAGACAGCATCTTCCAAACCCACAACCACTTGCATCTTGAAAGACTAGGGCAGCAGATACATGGGAACATACCCTGCAAGTTCCCCTCCAAGCCACCCACCATCCTGACTTGGACATATATCACTGTTCTTTCACTGTGACTGGATCAAAGCCCTGTAACGGAACTAACTCAATGGCAAAAATTGTGAAGTTGTGTCAAACAGTTTAATGTGCCAGTTAAAGAGTAACGTGTTGGGAATGCATTCTTTTGAGATTTGATGAGATTAGGGGCAAGAGCAAATCGTGAAAATCCTCCATGACCCAATCTTCTCCACAGGAATGCCGTTGCAAGTAGTAAACCACGTGTGCACATTCTCAGATGTTCTGTCTATTAAATTTATGAGACTGAGAAATCAGAGGCTGGACCAACTGAATTCTCACTGACTATGGGCATTAACCTTAACTTCCCACTTGTATAATTCCTAAAATTGCCCAAGATAAAATGAGAGAAATACCTAAATTGTTAGCAGCTTCTTCCTGTAGATCCAAAATGAGATCACGTCCAATTTTGCCATTGTAGAAAGCATCGGGCCCCTGTTCAGCAATAATCTTCAGTGTTTTTGCAAGCTGTTCATTCTTCATGATTTCACGTGGACTACCAGTACGGTTGTAAAACAGGGAACTAAAATAAAAAGGTGCCTGATTAACTTAAATCCCTGAACCATCTTCCAATTCAATTCAATCACCTGATGCTGCGTTCAATAATATCTATCAAGATGCAAGTACTATTAAAGAGGTTTGGTTTCCTCTGGGAGCTGCTGTTAGAACACTGATCAACCAACTTGTGACAACCTTCTTGATGTGTTATGTTAACAGCTTCCCAATTCCAATCTCACACCAAGTCCCATTCATCCATGACCCTGTGCTCACTGCCACATTAATGAGTTACACAAATGGCCCTTTGTTTTTTAAACCCAAAGTCTGGACAAAGAGAGTAACAATGTGTCTGCTGGACTTGAAAATAATCATCTCTGGATTATTAATTGAGTCACATACAAATAAGATGTGAGAAGAGAGTTCCAGCTCTCAGGGCACCAAAACTGAGGGTTGTACCATTAGCACAGTCTCCGCCTTAAATGTACTTAGGCCAGTGCTCCAGTGAACTGCATTACTTGACAAGTAGAGAGGATTTTTAACTAATAATGGGGCAAGGGTTCAAATTGGTGAAGATGTGGAAACTCAAAGAGTAAAGAGAAGGAAAAACAAAAGTGTGTGGATACAGGAAATGATAAACAGTTCATGACAGGATGGAAATTAGTGTTTATATGTAAGAGCGTATCAAGAGAGCAGGCTATGCGTTACGAGGTAGTAAAAAGACAAAATTGAAAATCTGAATGTATGTGGCATTTAAAACAAAACTGATGAACTGGTAGTGCATTGACAAACACGTATGATCTGACAGTCAGCACAGTGACATGGCTGCAGGCTGATAGATTGGGACGCGAATATTAAGGGATATATGACATTTAGGATGGACAAGGAATTAGGGAATGGTAGCGGGGTGGTACTCTTAATTAATGATGGCATTGACAAAGTAGAGAAAGGTGAGGAGAGATACAAATTTGCGAAGAAGGGTCATTGGACGCGAAACATTAACTCTGCTCCCTCTCCACAGATGCTGCCAGACCTGCTGAATTTCTCCAGCACTTTCTGTTTTTCTTTTAGATTTCCATCATCTGTAATTCTTTGTTTTATTATACAAATTGGGTCTGGATTCTCTAGAATTTAGAAGGTTAAGGGTGATCTGATTGAAATCTAAGACATTAACAGGAAAAGACAGGGTAGATAAAGATAAACTATTCCCAGTTTGGAGATTCTAGAATTAGGGGGCATAGTCTGAGAATTAGGGCCAGACTGTTCAGGAGCGATGTTAGGAAGCATTTCTATACACAAAGGGTGGTAGAGATTCAGAACTCTCTTCCACAAATGGCAATTGATGCTCGATCAGTCATTAGTTTTTAATCTGAGATAATATCTTTGCTGAGCAAAAATGCAGCTAAGGATATAGGCAGAAGGCACATATATGGAGTTAGGCCATAGATGAGCCTTGGTCTCACTGAATGGCAGGACGGGATTGAGGGATTTAATGGCCTACTCCTGTTCCTACATATGAAGTTCAGGAAATAAGGTTGTGGAAGTGGTTTCAGGGCCAGTAACCCCTCTTATAGAGACCATATAGTAGGATGGAAGAAATAGGGGAAGCTTCTCATTAATCACGGGAGATTGCAACATATAAGATCCTGAGGGGATTTGGCAGGGTCGATGTGGAAAGGATGTTTCCACTTGTTGAAGAATCTAGGGGTCACAATTTAAAAACACAAGGACACCCACTTAAGGCAGAAATGAGGAGAATGATTTTCTCACTGATTCATGATTCTTCAGAACTCGTCTCGAAAAAGCAGTGACCGCAGAGTCTTTCAATCATTTTAAGACAGAGTTGGACAGACTCTCGATAAGTAATGAGGTGAAAGGTTATTTTGGGTTGGCAGGAATTTGGAGTAATCACATCAGTTGTGATCTTACTGAGTGATAGAGAAGGTTCAAGGGACCGAGTGGCCTATTCGCAGTTGTAATTCACATGTTCATATGACTCCGATTATTCTTTTCTTTTACCGACTGGTTAGATTCTTAGTAGATTAAGATAAAGGTTCAGCAATGTGACATTAAAGCTTTTCAAAAACAAGAAGAGTTTTAGTCATGTTAAGGTTTCAATTTATTAATTTGTTATTGTTTCTCAGGTCAAGAATCCATTGTTCACTTTTGGAGGTGGATGGAGCTGTTAGCAGCTCAGGAAGCGTAATGAGGTAAAATGACCCTCCCTTTGTTGTCAGCTGCTACTGGGAAGACATACAGTCCATCATTCTTTTACTTTTGCTGTCTATAACGTCTACAGAGTGAAAAGGTGAGAGATTCCAGGAGGATGGTGTCTAGGTTCTGTCCTAGTAATTACTGCTGGAACGTTCCAGTACGGGCATCAACTTGCATTATGCGGTTGACAGCAGCCTTGTTTCAGCCCAGCAAAGTCCGTTTTAAAAACTATAGCCTTAAACCAATTTTGGACCTCTTTCAGGTCTTCTGAAGCCAACAGGCATTAAAGCCTTGTGTGAAGTACTGTTTCACATTTTACAATTAGATTGAAATCTGTTTCACTGAGCAACTGCTCCTTATCTATGTAATCTCCATCAGACCAACAACCTTCCAAAATCCAAATCCTAGAGAAAACAGGTCTGATTTATATGACTCTTTTCATAACTTAACCCCTGAAGTCCAGGTATCATTCTGTAACCCGTTGTTATGGTCCTTCCACGGCCAGTATATCCTTCCTAAGGTGTGGTGCCCAAGTGGGGTCTAACCAGGGTTTTGTGTCACTATAGCAGAAAATGAAGTGCTGTTCTTCTGGTTTGTACTGAACCTCACTGAAGCACTGCAGCAAGCCTGAGACAGAAATGTTGGCATATTCCACTTGGGGACTCTGCAGCCTTCAGGACTCAATATCGAGTTCAATAATTTTAGAGCCTGAACACCTTCTTCCATGTCCTTTACTCACTCCATCTCCCCAGGTCCTGTCACGACATGGGCTGCTTTCAGTGCAACCAACCCATTTTCATCCACTTATAGTTGTCATTATCAGCACTTTTTCTTTTCCCGGGCTACCATTAGCCATCCCTTTGTCTGCCTCACGGTCTCACTTTCCCTCTGGGCTCTGTCTTCACCTCTGGTTCACTCCTCCCTACATCCCATCTTCAGCATGCATACCACCTTTTCCCAACTACTATCAGTTCTGAAGAAGGGTTACTGGCCCTGAAACATTAATTCTGCTTTCTCTCCACAGATGCTGCCAGAGCTGCTGAGTTTCCACACCAATTTCGAGTTTTGCTTCAGATTGCCAGCATCCCATAGTTCTTTGTTTATTTTAGTTTTCAGGTCAATGTTTGATTGATAACACTACTGTGACTTTTGTGAGATAGTAAGAACTGCCGGTGCTGGAGTTTTTTTCCATTTGGGATGATCCGGTTCTGTATTTTTACCATGTTAAAGGCACTTTTGAAATGCATATTTGTTTTAGTGCTGCTGTTGTTATTGTGTTTGGTCAAAATATTGCATAGTAGGATAACTAGGTTCAGTGCTGGTTTTAAGATGAACTGTGATCATGCTATCTTGTGTGAAGCCCGTACTTACCTCAGAGATGAACTCTTTAGTTTAGTGCGAAGTAACATATTATTTAAAAGCAGTTTCAGAAACTTTGGGGTCTGGAAGCCTTTTTGTGCAAGTTGTATTGAAGGTTCAAACAGGGTTTTCCACGGTAATTTTCCAAATTTCTTGTGGGCTTCCCAGTAACCTCTCAGTTCCCCTGGCACAGCAACCCACTGGCTACCTGAATCTGGAGTTAACACATATACAAATCATCCTTGTGGCTCATTTAATCGGTGGCAAACCATTGTAGTTAATCAATAAAATTAACCGAGCTGGATTAAACAGAAACCTCTAATGTCTGAATCCCTACTTGTACCAGTTCTCTTCTTAAACCTTTTACTTGGTTTCCCCACTTCTATCCTTCTGTAAGGTGCTCCTTAAAACATACCTCTTTGAACAAGTGTTATCATCTGTTCTAATATCTCCTCCTCTGACTCTGCATTGATAACGTTCTTGTAAAACACCCCGCGATGTGTTGAGTGGATTTAAAAATAATTGTTGATACTATAAGATATATATAAGATATATATCAGTGTGGGCTGAACCCAGCCTCAGAGAGAAAAGAGTAGTGCAGCAACAAGGCTCATTATCCAGTCGTAAAACCATTCATTTGGAAGTATTTTTCTCTCACTCTCCAACGTGACTAGGTCTCTCGTGTTACAAGGAGCTGGATTTTGTTAGGGTTGGCAGTCACATTGACTGCCACTCTACTGCTAGTTTTTATGTCATAGAAGAGCTCTCTGCATTTCCAACAGGAGATTCCAATCAAGGAGTGTCCAAAACTGCAGAGCTGTATCTCCATTCTGACAGCTCCTTCAGTGTAAAGCAGACAGGAGAAGGAAAACCATGTCACCTACACCGCGCCCCCCAACCCACCCACCATCACAACAGTCAGATGCTCTATTCTGAAACTGAAAAGGCCAGTATTATGGAGACACTATGAAAGGATGAGTATGTAAGATTGGTGTAAAGTTAGGGTGCCAGGAGTGTAGGGTACCAGTCAGGCGATGGCGCAGGGTGCCCGGTAAGTAGGATGCTAATTGGGTAAAAAGGCAGGGTGCCAAGTAGCTAAATGTCCAGGTTGACAGGGATAGGGTGCCAGGTCTTTAGAGGGTAATGTGTCAATTGGATTGGGGGTCGGGTGCCAGTTTTGCAGAGCCAAGTTTGTACGGTGCCAAGTGTTGGGTAGGATTTAGGGTGCCAGATGGGCAGGTGCAAGGGGTTAGGTTATTGATGGAGTGTTTAGACTAGGTCAGGATGAACAGCGGACATTGAGTCTGGGCATTTGATGTTGGGTCCCATGAGCTGGGCCTGTTGGGTACCAGAGATACAAGGATGATGTAGGGTGAGGGCCTGGAGATATATAATTTTGCAAAGAAGAATATGAATGAGGTAGAGGAGCAAAAGGATTTGGATGCACAAATACACAAATCACTGGAAAATTGCACTACAGATTGACAAGACCATAAAAATGTAAAAGAACAAACTGGCTTATTTCTAGAAGAAGAGATCTGAAACATGAAGAAGTTTATGTTGGACTTGTATCAGGCCTTGATTATATCACATTGAGAGTTTTGTGTGCCGTCTAGCTGTTATTGAGGGATTGGGGAAGAGCAGAAAAGAATTACTAGTATCAGAAAAGTGAAAGTATACACAAATGTACAGATACAAGAGAGAGTATAAGCAGCTGAGAATCTGATTTCTTTATATAAAGAAAGCTGAGGTTGATCAAACAGAGAGCTTTAAAATTATGAATGCTCCTGATAGAGTTAAAAAGGTAACAGTAAAACTGCCATAGTCCTACCACACCATAGGGCTGCTGTCTCATTGGAGAGAGGCAACAGGTGGTGGTTTAACCTGAGGGTCACTACACCTCAGGCAAAGGGAGAGGTTAAGAAGGAGAGTCCTTCTGGTAACCTCAGTCAGAGCAGGAATTGAACTCACGCTGTTGGTGTCATTCTACATCACAAGCCAGCCATCCAGCCAACTGAACTAACCCAACTTCCTTCATGATACAGTAAGCAGAGACAGAACTGTTTCTCTTGCAAGAAATATCACAACTGCAGGCTGTTTATACATAACAAACACCAAGAAATCATCCACCTGACAGAGTTCAATGATTAAGGCATGAGAGGAGCATCAAAGCTGGTCACAGAACTGGTTCAATAAATGATTGGCTGTGGAATCACAAACAAAAACAGCCAATAACCACACCAGCACCAGCTTCTCTGCACACCCCTCCGTGCCCCCTGACACTCATCCTGACACTCCATTTACCTTCAGCTTCCCCATCCCAGCCTCTCTCCCATCCTGCTCCAATCGCTACCTTCATACCCCGCTCCTTCTCCTGCTTCTGGCCCACCTTCTCCCCACCACCAACCTTCCCACTTTGACCCAAAATCAATAATCACCACCTACGGCACCCCAATTTTCCACCCCAACCCCAACGTTCAACACAACTGTGCCCCTTGCAGTTCACCACACTCTCCTCCACCCTGCGATTGCTCCATCTAACCATTTCATCACCACTCCCCCCCACCTCTGGTTGCCTACGCTTGTCCTCTTCACTGGCTCAAGGGAGGGAGGGGAGAGGGAGAGAACAGGGCTATGTCTGGAATCAGTCTCACATCTGTGACTGGCACCGTTTTCTATTCACAATTTTTTTTTACCTGGTTTTGGAAAAGGGCCACACCCACTGAGTAAACCTGGCCTCACCATCTGTGGAGCCACTTCTCTGGCATTAATTACTGTCACATTGCCTGAGGGAGAGATGACACAGAGGTTACACAAAATACACACAGTGAGATGGTCTATAAACACACTGTCACAAATACAGTGAGATGGTCTATATATATGCACCATCACAGACAAAGTACAGACAGCGAGATGGTCTATATACACAGTCATGGACAAGAGAGAGAGGTGAATTTAATTATTTTTCCTGTTCTGCTCTCCTGTCTAGCTGAGAGGTGTCTTTTTTACAAATTTTATTTACCATTCGAAATAGGTCTTATGGTGGCAATAGTTAGTCAATGGAACTGGACTCCTAAGACTACCTGTACTAACCAAAGTCTACAGCTACCTGGAGCCTAGGATTTAAGCTCCAATTCACAAAGGATGAAGACCCAGCGGCAGAGCCAGCACAGATGGGAAGCCCGGACCTTAAAAAAGGTGAAAATGGGATGGAAGCGGGACTGGGTCAAATCGAGGCCTTGGGTGAGATGAGGCCTAGGGAAGGGACAGGCCAGGGGAAGACAAAGCCAGGCTGGAGCAAGCCAGGAGACGAGGCTGGGGAACAGGAGGCCAGGAAGAAAGGCCAAAAAGGAGGCAAGTCCCCTTGTCCTGGCCAGGACCAAACAGGAGAAACTGGAATGCAGGAAGTACAGTACTTGGTGCTGATTTGTGATGATGATGAATATTGACAACACATGCGATTGATTTTAAAATAAAAATAGTGACACATAAGAGAAACATAGTCCCCAAACAATAAACTTTATTCAACCAAAATGACGTTAAGCACGGCAACTTTTAATGACTGCTGCACGTAAACTGAGTCCACTAAGACAATATCAAAGTGAGGGTTTGCAGTTGACTGATGAGGCAGAATTGCTTTCCTTAGGAGCTTGGATGCAGGTGAATTGTGGTTGAAGGCTCAGCAATAACATTCTTGCAGACTAGCAAATTAGTCCACTCCTCAGGTGAAATACAGAACTCCTGTCGGAAATTTGACTTCAAAAGAGGTCCAGACTAGTGGCAGGCTTTTTTAGCTGAGCCTGGAGCTACTTTTGCTGTCCCCATTAGTTGGAAGGGTCAATAACAAGGAGGCATAATTTTTAAAGTGAAAGGCAGGAGGTTCAGAGGGTGTTTGAGGAAAATGCCTTTTCACCCAGAGGGTGGTGGAGGTTTGGAATGTGCTGCCCGGGAGAGTAGTTGAGGCTGGAAACCTCACAACCTTTAAAAAGTACTTGAATGAGCACTTGAAGTTTAAGGCTACGGGCCTAGTGCTGGAAAGAGGGATCAGTCTAGATTTAGAGCAATTTTTTTGTCAGTGCACATGATGGGCCAAAGGGCCTCTTCCATACCGTATGATTCTATACTGTAGTTTGCAACAAATTATTTGACCTGGAGAATAAGGCACCTTCTTTCCAGGCTTGGTATACAAGTCACATATCCCCACCTTTTATTGCAAGGATGTGAAACACTCACATTAGGAATCAATCTCAACATTTCACCTCAGAAGTGAGTGCTTTAATCATCTTACCCATCATCTCAGGGAGGTCAGGCGGTGGGCAGAGTGGTGGGTGGGGGTCCAGACTGTGTTGTACAGCAGCCACTTAAGATACACCCACACAGAGTACAAATGGTTGACAATAGCAGAAATAGATTTTCCGCAACAAAAATAAATGAAATATG